TCTCTCATCTTTTTAAGTGGGAGAACTTGCACAATTGGTGACTGACTAAATACTTATTTTCTCCACTGTAGCTGCACCTCCGTGGTTAAATTGAAGGGTCGACAGAGAGACGTCTTTTGTCATCCTGATAGCTGCGGTAGGGAGTGGCTGTTGGACCCGTTCAACCTAGATCAGGGGTGTCAAACTCCTGTCCTCGAGGGCCGCTATCCTGCATGTTTTAGAGGTTTTCTTGCTCCAACACACCAGATTTTGATCGCTGGGTAATTAACAGGCTTCTGCCCAATTTGAAGAGTTAATTCAATCACTGAATCAGGTGTGTTGGAGCTGGAAAACCTCTAAAACATGCAGGATAGCGGCCCTTGAGGACTGGAGTTTGACACCCCTGGCCTAGATTCTTTTGTTATCTTGCCCGGATAAAGTACCCGGTTACAGTTTTCTTTTGAGGCCTAAGATCTGTTTAATTCCGATGGAAAAAGGCCGGGGAGGTAATAAAAAATTGGGTGGTGGAAGCTCCGTTTAAATTAATGGTAGTTTAAAGGGGACATGTCGTCAGTTTTTTTGTTGTTTTTTTTTAAGTTCTGTTCAAGCAAGGGGATACAGGCCTGTGTGTTGTCTGCCTAAATGTGTGTTTTATGTTAAATGTGGGGTTTTCTTGTTTTTCTGTTTATTTTTGTGTATTGACTTGGCTCTGTTTGGGCTGAATTCAAATGTGGGGGTGCTTCTAAGTTTTTTTTCTTGCTGGAGTTTCTTTGTCCTGTCTAAAGTGATTTATTGCTGGACAGCAACAGGAGTGGGGGTTGTTTTTCTGCTGCTGTGAGGGCATCTGGACTGCATTAACTTGTTTTTTCTCTCTCTATCTATGGTTCTTTGTTCGGAGCGCCTCCTGCTGGTGAGAGAGACAACTCCTGCTGCAGGACTGAGCTGTGGCTGCTCCATTTTCTTTTTTTGACCAGGCGAGTAATTCTGTTTTATCCACAAACTAAAAAAAAAAAAAAGAGAGAGAAACAAAGCATCATTTTAGTTCTTTGTCATTTTTTGAGTGATAGCTACTGAGCATCAGTTGTTTTCTCTTTGTGACAGTTTCAATTTCATTTCACGGTCAAAGGGAGGTATATAAATACAAGATTAAATTCAAATTCAAATTCAAATTACTTTATTGAAAGAAAGAAAGACAGTGAAGAGAGGATGAAGAAAGACAGGAAACGTGAAAAAGTGAGATGGAAGTGGAAAAGTGAGATGGAAGTGGAAAAGTGAGATGGAAGAGGAAAAGAAACAAGAGGAGGAGGAGAAGCATAAACAGAGAGAAGCTGAAGGTAGTAAGAAGAAAGATGTTGAAGGAGATTAAGAAAGTGAAAAGTAAGTGCTGCAAAGAAATTAAGAATGTTGTAACTGAAGGACAACAACAGTATCCATTAAAAGAGGAAGACTCTAAGAACTTTATGTTGTATGTGTCCACCTCAGCWGGGGGTAGGTTTGCATGTGCTTTTCTTTGTCAATCAACAAGGAATGCTATGACTTGGTTGGAAAGTAGAGTAGGTTCATTTGGAGCGATGTTAGTACAAGGAGTTTGTGGATAAAATAGTAAAATTGCATTTGCAGAAGTTGAKCATAAAACAGAGGTTGGATCTGTTGGTGATGGTTTGTTACTACACAGTTATGCTGATGTGTGCGGAAAGCTTTGATTTTGAAATGGGTGGTGCTGTGTCAGAGTAGGAGGAGTTAGAAGTACATCAGGAAATTCTGGAGATGTACCCTTATTAAGTTGTTTGTTTGAAGTTTTTCTATAATTTGAGGGCTCTGTTTGTCAGAATGAGTGATTTTTTATTTTTGATATGCGGTTTTCTCATGTTTTTTTTAGTCTATGGAGGTTAGAAATAATGTCTTTT